GGCGCGCGGGGCGTTGGCACTGGTCTGCATGCCTGCTTACATCTTAGTCAGTCTCTGCGGGAATGCGGGCCGCGACGAGGGAATGCGGTGGTAATGGCTTTATTGGAATGCGTATGGAATGCGTGGGAATGCGTATGGAATGCGGAATGCGTAAAGATTGCGTAGGGAATGCGTAGGCAGTGGTGCGAGATCCGACGCTCGGGTCTGCCGCATGATACGGGGCGTAGAGGAGGAAGTTCGGGCTTACCTTGTTGTTTCATTAGGTTTTGCATGGCCGTTGTTGTCGCTGAGCTGATCAACTGCTCCAGCTGCGACTTCGTGAGCGTGACGCGCTCCTCGCCGTCGTCGTGAGTGCTCCGAATGTCGTTCATCGGGGAGTCTTGCGCCCAGACGCCTGTGGGTGGGCGTATCGCTCGCGACGAGGTTGGGGATAGCGGGGGAAACTCTTCTTGGGCGGCCATGTTGGCGCTGAACGCGACGCGACGGCCGTGGTTTGTGCCTGCCGATGCCGAAGCGATCGCCGCGTCTGCGTCGTGCAGCGAGAGAGCTGGAAGTGGTACACTCTTGCGTGGTTTCTTGGGCAGTCGTTGTGGTGTGGCATTCTGGCCGGGAGTCCGCTGTTGCTGTGTTCTCTTCCTGGTGCTAGCAGTGCCGGGTGTGGTCGTCCCAGCAGCCGATCGCGACCTGGCCCTCTGTCGTCCCTTGGCTTTCCGAGTAGAGTCGGCAAGCGGGGAGGATGCCGCAATGCTGGGTTGTGTCATCGGGGACGATTGAGCGTCGCCCTGCCTCGGTCCTGTTTCCTCCATGTCGCTGTCCGACTGTAGGGCCTGTTGTTGGGACGGGTGGTTGCTCGTCTCGCTCGCTGGCTGCCTGTCTTCCTCTTCCTCCTCTTCGTCTTCCTCGTCATCCTCCTCTTCTTCCGCTATTGTCTCTGTCCCGCCACCTCTGGCCACCGACGGAGCGGGTGTCCGTCCCGTTTGAGCCTTCCCTCCGCGGGGGGTCCCTCTCGGCCGGCGAGCCGTGGCTGCGGCGGGTATACGCTGGTTCATGAGTCTGCTTTGCTGGGTGATTTTGGTCGTCGCTAGCGTCTTGGCGGCTCGCGCTGGTGTCTCTGCCATTTCCGTGTATGTTGAGGGAACGAAAAACTAAATCTTGCTATGCAGCTGGAGAACACGAGCGCCGAGTCGGTGTAGTCGCGACCAACACGCGAATGCTTTGTTTGGTCGCTGCCGCGCTCGTGCCGGCCTCCTGCAAGAAACACTACATCCACGGCTCGTGCCTCGCGAGTGGATCCGTGCTTCTCTTGACTCTCTCCATCATGGCGTCCTCATCCACCCCGGCGCCTTTCTCGACCATGCCACCCAAAACGGCCGACCTCGACGAGACGTGGAAGTTTCTCACCGCTGGTGTTGACCACATCATGAACAAGCTTGAAGAGGGTCTCTCCTTTGCAGGCTACACGAGTCTGTACACGGTAATTTCTTACTCCTTCATCTTTCTTCTTGAACGGTGCGACATTGTATAGACTGTCTACAACTACTGCACCTCGACCAAGCTTCATGGCAAGCTAGAGGGCAACCGTAGTCCGTTTCTTTACTTTACAGCTCTTCAGGAGACCTGACTCTTTCGTAGCGGGCGCTAACCTCGTGGGCTCCGATTTGTACAACAAGCTCACCGACTACTTTGCCAACCACTTCAAACCTATCCTTACGGTATGTCTTCCTTTCTGTTTCATACAAGGTCGGCACTGGCTTTGTGGAAATGACTCCGATCGTGTCGGTAGCGCCCGGTCGCGTGATGCGTCCAGTTCTCGTTTTGCGTGCCGATGGCCATAATGAACGCGTAGTCAGACCCGTTTCCACTTACACGCCACGTCCCTGCAATCGGCCGATCTATGCAATATTCTAATCTCTTTCACAGAAAGCAGAGACGTTACAAGACGAAGCTCTCCTTCGCTACTACGCAGCCGAGTGGGAACGCTACACCACGGGAGCCAACTACCTGAACCGCCTTTTTACCTATCTGAATCGTTATTGGGTCAAGCGCGAGCGTGATGAAGGAAAGAAGGCTGTTTATCAAGTCTATACGGTATGCATCTCCTCGCACATTCATCACCCGACGCCGTTCACCGACGATCCCAGCTCGCCCTCGCTCAATGGCGCCAACATCTCTTCACGCCACTACAGCCACCCATCTCGGCTGCGCTGCTGCGTCTGGTTGCATCTCAACGAGACGGGGCGACCATCGACCAGGCCCTGATCAAGAAGGTGGTCGACTCGTTTGTTTCCCTCGGCCTTGACGCATCCGACCCGAACAAAGAATGCCTCGACGTCTACAAGGAGCAGTTCGAGGCGCCCTTCCTTGCGGCCACCGAGGCCTACTACACTGCCGAATCCGAGGCCTTCCTCAACGCAGGCGGCGAGGGCGGTAATATCCCCGAGTACCTCAAAAAGGCCGAAGCGCGCCTTGCCGAGGAGGATGACCGCGTCACGCGCTATTTGCATGCCAAGACGCGCAAGGAGCTTATTGGCAAATGTGAGAATGTGCTACTCAAGGCGCATGCGCCAAGAATGTGGGAAGCATTCCAGGTGTGCTGCGTAATTATCCTGTCGAGGGCCGCGCTGACGAATATTTCAGACACTACTTGACTTTGACGCCGATGAGGACCTGCAGCGGATGTATGCTTTACTGGCTCGCATCGCTGATGGACTGGAACCACTACGCCGCAAGTTCGAGGCTCATGTGAAGGCCGCTGGACTGGCTGCTGTTTCTGCTCTCGTTGGCGGCGGTGGAGATGCTTCCAAAGCCAACGCGGACGGGGACGAGACCAAAAGTGGGGAACTGGAGCCCAAGGCCTACGTTGATGCGCTGCTGGGTGTGCACGAGAAGGCTGCGGCAACGGTGAAAAGGAGCTTCAAGAGCGAGGCGGGCTTTGCGGCAGCATTAGATAAGGCGTGCAGAGACTTTGTGAATCGAAACGCTGCGACAGGCTCGAGTGCAGCTCGTTCGCCAGAGCTGTTGGCCAAGCACGCGGATATGCTGCTAAGAAAGAGCAACAAGATGGCGGCCGAGACGGACTTGGAGAGCGCACTGAATCAGGTGATGATCCTGTTCAAGTACCTCGAGGATAAGGATGTCTTCCAGACGTTCTACACCACAAAGCTGTCCAAGCGTCTTATCCACGGTGTGAGCGCGTCGGACGAGGCGGAGGCGAGCATGATCAGCAAGTTGAAGGAGGCGTGTGGGTTCGAGTATACCAACAAGCTGCAGCGCATGTTTACCGGTATGCCTTCCTCCCTTCTTCTTCCCGGCCGAAGCTTATCTATCGTATAGACATGTCTTTATCCAAGGACTTGACGGATTCCTTCAAAGAACGGATGGCGCAGAATCACGACGACGCTGGCGACATTGCGTTTAGCATCATGGTTCTCGGGACCAACTTTTGGCCGCTTGCCCCACCGACACACGATTTCCTGTTACCGACCGAGTTGTTGCCTACGTTTGAGCGGTTTACGAAGTATTACCAGACAAAGGTGAGCTTACGTCAGCGACCTCTTGTCAGTGACTCACCTGCCCTTCACAGCACTCTGGCCGTAAGCTGACCTGGCTGCACAACTACTCAAAGAACGAGCTACGGACGAACTACCTGAATCAAAAGTACATTCTCATGACGAGTGCATATCAGGCGGCGGTCCTGTTGCAATACAACCGCAACGACACGCTCAGCTTGCAGGAGCTCGAGGCTGCGACCAAGATTGCCCCAGAAATCTTGGGGCAGGTGCTTGCGCTGCTAGTCAAGGCCAAAGTGCTGATCAACGAGGAGAAGGAACAGTATGATTTGAATCCGAGTGAGTGCAATCCAGACTCGTTCGCACCTTGTTAACCTGACGAAATTAGGCTTCAAGTCCAAAAAAATACGTGTAAACCTCAATCTTCCAATCAAGGCCGAGCAGAAGGCCGAGTCCAGCGATGTGCTCAAGGCGGTCGACGAGGACCGCAAGTATGTCATTCAGGCGACCATTGTTCGGTTTGTACACATCACTCGTCCTCTTCTCCCGGCTCACACCCCGCAGAATCATGAAAGCTCGTAAGACAATGAAGAACCAAGCACTCATCCAAGAGGTCATTTCACAAATCTCTCAACGCTTCGCGCCCAAGATCCCGGACATCAAGAAGGCGATTGAGACGCTCCTCGAGAAAGAGTACATTGAGCGTGTGGACGGGAGCAAGGATACGTTTGCATATGTCGCCTAAACCCTGTCGCGTTTTCTTGGTGGGCTTAGAGTAGAGATTAGCCCATACGCTCCCGCTTTGTTTCCGCTGTGTAATTTACTTACCTACTTAGCTACATACTCTCTCGCATACTGCAGTCATTCAATTTTGTTCAAGAGCACCGACTCTGCTGTGAGCCCAGTTGTTGTATGGCGCGATGAGGAGGAGGGAAAGACGGCAAGTAATATCCCGTAACCCGTTACAGTCTCTTCAATCCTTACTGTGAGGGTCCTTGATCTCATTACTGGTGATGTCGCGCAACATCTGCTGCAGCCGAGGCTGCCACATTTGCCTTGCGGAGAGGTTTCTGTCTGAGCAGCCTCGTCGAATTAGAGAACAGGCGTTCTGATCAAACATTGATTCCATCATTAATTTCGATCCTGCTCTTCCTCATCATGCTCCCACATCCTCCTGGCTCCTCTAAACAGTCTTCAGCCAGCAAAGGCAGTGCATTTCGAACACCATTGGCTTGAAACCTCCGGTCCTTCGCCTGCTTATCAAAGATGATTCCACCGTCACTTCGATCCTGCTCTCCCTACTTCCCTCATCCTCCTGGCTCCTCTGAACGGCCTCTAGTAACGCCGGCGTGGCTCAATGGTAGAGTGTCTTGAAAACCCTCGGCTTGAAACCCGTTCCTTCACCTGCTTATCAAAGATGATTCCACCGTCATTTCGATGTCCTCCCCCTATTTCCCTCATCCTACTGGCTCTTCTGAACATCTCCAGTAAGCCGGCGTGGCTCAATGGTAGAGCGTCTCTTTCCTAATTAGGAAACTCCAGGAGAAGGTTGTGGGTTCGAGTCCCACTGTTGGTTTTTGCCGTCCTCCCTCAAGTCCAGCCCATTGTTTTTCTGTCTTTGGATCACTTGACCCAACCGCACATTTGGAGACTACTACATGTCAGGGAAGACACACACTACCTATCGTTCAACAGCGTCCAGCGAACCCTGCATTGGTCCTGTGCATCAAGCCACGGAGTCTCCGATCCACAATGCATCGTAACATTCCAGCTACAGGGTGTAACAGGCATCGGCCGCCCGAGTGCCGGCGTGGCTCAATGGCAGAGCATCGCTTTCCTAATCTGGAATATACTCCAGGCGAAGGTTGTGGGTTCGAGTCCCACTGTCGGTTTTTGCAGGGGTCCTTCAGTTTCCGTCGACTGAGGAAGTTCTTTTTTTTAATCTTTTGATCGTGATCAATCATCACGCACGATGCCCCTATCCACCAAACTTGTCACCAGGTTCACTTCGTCCGCGTTCTCCTGAGTTCTCCCCCCCCTCCAGGTTCGGCAATTCCGCTGCTTAGTCTTCCACCTGGTGCAAGCAAACTCAGCGTCGCTGAGCCCCTTTACAAGCTTCCAACGACTCGCTTAGCGGAAGCTGAAGAATCACACGCTCGACCAAGCCATGGATGGAGTCACCGATCTTCTGCCTGGCAGACAATACATTGCAACTAAGTTCTTCGAGTTCATGTGTTTCCTTCCTGCGCTCTTGTGAAAGCCGAGTGTTTCCTGCCTCCTGTGGAAGCCCAGTGCTTCCGCCGCCGTCTCATGGCTTCTATAGCTTTGAATCAATACCTTGCCTTTTCCAAGTTCAATTCAATCAACTGTCTTCTGCTGTTCTTACCGCGCCAGCTGCTCCCAAGGTGCAGCTCCCGGTGTCTACATAGACCCCGCCCTTCCACCCACCTTGGCATATCTACGCGTCACCGCTCCCAGGGCGCTTCGCGCCCCCTCCCTGATCGCACAGCTCGCTCACGCTCGCCCCGAGTCTTACTTCCAAAGTAGCAAATCCAAGTCTTGCAATCCCAGTGCTCAGATTTTGGACATTGGAGTCGGACATCAGAGCTTCTCAACGCAGTCTTCTGCTTCCTCTGGTGGCCGTTCGTTGCCCTGCGCTGCACATACTGGGAGACTCCTTTATGTCCAATTCAAATTGATTCAAACTGTCCAGACAAAAAATTGAAAATAGACAAGGTCACATCGTTGGTAGGCTCCTCTGAACTCGAGCGTTCATCTGGTTTGTTCAATGGCTCAATACTTTTGCGAGATCAATTAATGCGATGACCTCCGATTATATCTGCTGTTCTTCTTTGGCCGGCTTCTCTAGATCTCCAAGCTGCGAATTCGTGTCCAAACAAGTGTACCGCTAACGTACTCGGTCAACAAACGGCGCGTCGGCCACAAAATTCGGGAGTTGGGATAACCGTGGCACCGACGATTTGATGGCTGTGCTGCGGTGATGTGCCGCTGCGGCTGCCATCACGGCCAACACATGCATCCCTTTGCCTTGCCTCGCCGCGCAATGCTCATGTTCTCCTGGCTAGTACTACCCAATCCCCAATTGATCCAATGCCATGTAATGTGGATTGATTCAAACAAAAAATACAATCACATCATTATCTACGATCTCGGATCCACTAGTAACTGTGAGACGGGCGAAGCGGCGTTGCGTAACTTGCGTTGAAGCGGCCGAACGGCGGGAGCGGCAGAATGGGAGCAGCGGAGGTGAGAGAGTGGCGTGTACCCGGTGTGACGTGAGGGTTGCGGGAGAGCTGTCAAAGTGTGAGTGAAGTATTTTTGAGAGCGCTCCAGAATTATGCAGTTAGTTGCCATCCAGATTCTTCGCTCAAACAGACCAAGGGATTGTCGAATTTTGACCTCAAGAAGCCACTTCTGAGCCAAGGAAATCACCCAAGTTTCGTCTGAAAAAGTCACTTTTCGAGACAATCCTTTGGGGAGCTTCACCGGCCCTGTAATGGTCAAAGTTGAATTCATGTCGCGGTCGCGTCCATGAAAATGCGCGCAAGGTAAAGCATCTTGAATTCTCAAGTGGCATGGGATGGTGGAGGGTGATGGTGAGACTTTACCGACACACAGCCGCGGTCGTGGAGGCCTTCCAATGAACAAAAGGATCGGTGTGTCCGACTAGTTGCCTATGCTTTTATTCACCGCGAGGCCGACTGGTGCGTCCTTTCCCGCTCATCTTCACCGTACGCACCCATTCTCCACTAGGTGCTTGCCATTGGGTCCGAAGGCTTGCTGGACTTGAAGAACGCTCAAAATTTGGGCCAAGGACCCAAACAATCAGATCCGACGCTCCCATACACTCACTCTGGCAGAGCCATATTATTGGGCTACGATAAATACGTATAGTCTTCGATGCGACCGATTTGACTTCATGTTCACCATATGTTTATTCGTCCCGACAAGCCTTCAGGCAGCACCTTGCTTCGCCGTGAGTCTGGCATTGGCTATTGTTGGCTGCGAGCAGATTCTCCCCTCGGGTGTGTTTTGGGTGTAGACGTAAAGTCGAGCGCGCCCGGGCGACTGAGCTGTTCTAGCGCGGCCCGCGGCGTTGGCTTCGTCGCAATCAGTCTAGTTGAAGCCTGTATAGCCGAATTTACTTGAGAGAAACCTGGGCGAAGAAAAAAAGAGATGGGAAAGTGCCTAAAAAGGGCCTGGCCTTCAGTTTTTACAGGGCATGAGGAACATCGCAGTCACGCAAGACGCGACTCGCGAGCACCACAGCAGTGACGAGAATGGCGAGTATCATGTTCAAATCGTAGCGCTGAGAGAGTTAATGTATGCCAGGAAGGCCATAATTCAAAGCGTTTTGACAATTCTTCCTCTCAGACACTTTTGTAGGCCGACATGCGTCAATGGCCGCCTTGCCGCGAATGTCTGCGTGGTCCCCATTTGGTCCAACTTGACTGCGAGACGGAATCCCGTTCAGCTGTATTGGTATCCTTTCCGTTCGTTCCCGGAGTTCGAGAGCGTGGCCATCTCACCCAGACTTTGATCCAGTAGCGCGTGTCTGCAACACGCGCAAATGGCCGTGAACTTCGAGATTCAATGGCGGCAGGCCAGGCTGGAGCTGCTTCGTACTGCCGTGCTGCGTGTTTGTTATTACATCGCAGAGTCCCAGACCGCCCCAGTTCCAGTTGTGAACTTTGGTATTTCTTGACGCGACAATACAATCGAGGTTGGACAAAGACTTAAAGCACGCACGGCGGTCTCAGTCTAATGGTTTTCGAGACGCTCTACCATTGAGCCACGCCGGCCTTACTGGAGACGTTCAGAGGAGCCACGAGGAAGTAGGGGGAGGACATCGAAATGACGGTGGAATCATCTTTGATAAGCAGGTGAAGGAACGGGTTTCAAGCCGAGGGTTTTCAAGACACTCTACCATTGAGCCACGCCGGCGTTACTAGAGGCCGTTCAGAGGAGCCAGGAGGATGAGGGAAGTAGGGAGAGCAGGATCGAAGTGACGGTGGAATCATCTTTGATAAGCAGGCGAAGGACCGGAGGTTTCAAGCCAATGGTGTTCGAAATGCACTGCCTTTGCTGGCTGAAGACTGTTTAGAGGAGCCAGGAGGATGTGGAGCATGATGAGGAAGAGCAGGATCGAAATTAATGATGGAATCAATGTTTGATCAGAACGCCTGTTCTCTAATTCGACGAGGCTGCTCAGACAGAAACCTCTCCGCAAGGCAAATGTGGCAGCCTCGGCTGCAGCAGATGTTGCGCGACATCACCAGTAATGAGATCAAGGACCCTCACAGTAAGGATTGAAGAGACTGTAACGGGTTACGGGATATTACTTGCCGTCTTTCCCTCCTCCTCATCGCGCCATACAACAACTGGGCTCACAGCAGAGTCGGTGCTCTTGAACAAAATTGAATGACTGCAGTATGCGAGAGAGTATGTAGCTAAGTAGGTAAGTAAATTACACAGCGGAAACAAAGCGGGAGCGTATGGGCTAATCTCTACTCTAAGCCCACCAAGAAAACGCGAGAGGGTTTAGGCGACATATGCAAACGTATCCTTGCTCCCGTCCACACGCTCAATGTACTCTTTCTCGAGGAGCGTCTCAATCGCCTTCTTGATGTCCGGGATCTTGGGCGCGAAGCGTTGAGAGATTTGCTGAAATGACCTCTTGGATAGTGCTTGGTTCTTCATCGTCTTACGAGCTTTCATGATTCTGCGGGGTGTGAGCCGGGAGAAGAGGACGAGTGATGTGTACAAACCGAACGATGGTCGCCTGAATGACATACTTGCGGTCCTCGTCGACCGCCTTGAGCACATCGCTGGACTCGGCCATCTGCTCGGCCTTGATCGGAAGATTGAGGTTTACACGTATCTTTTTGACTCTTGAAGCCTAATATTCGTCAGGTTAACAAGATGCGAACGAGACCTGGATTGCACTCACTCGGATTCAAATCATACTGTTCCTTCTCCTCGTTGATCAGCACTTTGGCCTTGACTAGCAGCGCAAGCACCTGCCCCAAGATTTCTGGGGCAATCTTGGTCGCAGCCTCGAGCTCCTGCAAGCTCGTTGCGGTTCGCTCAGAGCAGCCAGGAGGATGAGGGAAGAGGGGAAGAAGGCGATTCAGAAGGACCGCAGCTTTCAAGTCAATGATTTTCGAGATGCAGTGCCTTTTCTGGTTGGAGACTGTTCAGAGGAGCCAGGATGATGAGGAACGTCGGGAGCAGGATGAGGGAGAGCAGGATCGAATTGATGATGGAATCAATATTTGATCATTTGATCCGCGCGAAGTTTGAAGGACCGCTGAGCGCTGAGGCTCGCCATGCATTCTCGCACACAAGTCTCGTTTCTTTCCAGTTTATGATTTCTCTGCGATAATTTATTCTTTTACACGAGGATATAACCGAGATTGCCAACCATCGTCGTCATCTTTCTGCGCATTTCGAACCGATAAATCTGTTCCACAGCTCTAATGCGATGAGGCTGCTCATACAGAACTCTCCGCAAGGCAAGGGTGGCAGCCTCGGCCGCAGAGCATGTTGCACGACATCATCAATGATATCAAGGACCCTCACAGTCATTTAATCTTGCCCTCAAGTACCCTCACAGTAAAACCATGCATCTACCAGCCGACTGCGCCGATTGTCACTCCGTCCCGGCCATGACTTCCCAGTGCACCGACCAGTGTGTCGTCGTCGCCTGCACCGAGCAAGCTCCGTATGGGTGTCCCGGAACCCACTGTGATCTCGAGTGCGAGGACAGAAATTGCAAGGATTGCAGCGGGTTTGACGAGTTTGTACGTACGCCGACCTTTTCTGCGACGTCCAGTAACATCTTTCAGCTGCAATGCTGCACCGATTTCCA